TGTTGTTCCATGTGGGCTTTGTTGCTTCTGAGCTAGATGGCCACTTGTTTACCTTCAAGCTTTATCTTTTGATAGCCGGGCACCATCAGCTTTCTTCACCACATTTGCTTATTCACTCTTTTATTAAAGTTTTGATATAAAACTCTATAGTTGGATTTTAAAAATTCTTTAAGCTAAAAAGTACTCATCTTCAGAGTTAGCATATGGCTAAAGTGAGACAGTAACCAAGGGTCTTTTAACACAAGATTCAGTGTTATTTTACATTAACGCCACAAAATGTAAAATAAAGATGGAGCTATTCTGAGCTTTTAAAAATTAACACACCAGTAAACATAATCTGTGCAGGGCCATGGGAGAAAGGAATTATCTTAAAATAAAATCAGGAATGACCCAGCTTTCAATATCTCCAAAACATTGAAAGAGGATTTTTGGAAAAACGACGACAACAAAAGAATCACTGAAATTTTAAAATGCTAGTCTTTTGTAAGAAGAATGTTAAGTAGGCAAGGAGAAGGGCTCAGATAACCACAATGAAGGGAAGAAGAGACTGAAGTTTTGGGTCAAGATCACAGGAGAGAAAACAAAAGTGTACTTCTAGAGCTAATCCATTCTCACAGGATAAAATGCATGCTCCCGTTACATGTGAAGTTACAGTTTTCTTTTTGGAAGGGGAGGTAATTCTTTGAATAAAGTTGAAGTTAATAGCAAGCTGCTTTATCAAAAGCAGCATCCTCTACTATATCTAGTTTTAGGTTCTTATCTCTAGGCATTTCTATGTGTTTCAGAATCAATATAAAAGTAGGGTTTACAGAAATTCCAGCTTCTCTGATGTTTGTGATGACCCACAACAACATATACTTCACATACCTCCTCATTGATAATGGTGGCATTGCTCAATGAGCGTAATGCTGATGTTATTTTTCTTCCAAGGTCTGCTAGTACCATCTTGAAGGCTTATTAAAACACGCTTATGAGGAAATCTAGGAAGAAAAAAATTAAATAAATACACTTGAGAAAAATCACTTCATTTCTCACAACTGAAAACTTCTAAAGAATAAGTACCAAATCAAAGTACTGCGTGCTGCTGTTATTAGGGGCCTTCTAGATTTCAACTCATAATGACGCTATGTGACAGAACAGCCCTGTCCCACAGAGTTTTACAGGCTGTAATCTTTATATGGACAGAGTCATTTGGTATGTTTGAACCACCAACCTTTTGGCTGGTAGTTGAGTGTGTGACCATAGTACCACGGGGCACCTTACTCTAGTGTTTAGATACCATAATTCAAGCTTGTATATCATCCTGAACTTGAGCTTCAATAAACTGTATTTTTACATATGTAATGTGCGCCTTCTTTGCCAGCACTGCTCCCCACGCCCCTATTAGTATGTGTGCTATGCTAAATTTTTAAAAATTAATAAATAATTTAATTTGGGGCCCTTACAACTCTTATCACAATCTATATATCCATCCATTGTATGTCAAGCACATTTGTACATTTGTTGCTCTCATCATTCTTAAAACATTTACTTTCTACTTGAGCCCTCATTTTTCCCCTCCCTCCCCACTCCCTTCCCTCATAAACCCTTGATAATTTATAAATTATTATTTTGCCATATCTTACACTTTTCGATGTCTCCCTTCACCCACTTTTCTGTTGTTTGTCCCCCAGGGAGGAGGATATATGTAAATCCTTGTAATCGGTTCCCCCTTTCTACCCCACCTTCCCTCCACCCTCCCAGTATCAATCACCACCGGTCCTGAATGGATCATCTGTCCTGGATTCCCTGTGTTTCCAGTTCCTATCTGTACCAGTGTACATCCTCTGGTCTAGCCAGATTTG